TCGGTGCTTGTCGCGGCGGCAATCCCCGAACCCGCTGGTGGACACCGGTGGTGAGGGATGCCGTCAAGTATAATAATTCCCGTGAATTAGGTGAACTTTTATTTTTTTGTCTAAATCTAAACCATGATCAGTACTTCGACTTAATTGACGGGATGCTTTTCTAGTCTGGGAAGACTCTAAGGGTATGAGTATTGCACAATATGCAGAATGTTCTTGCTGTTTTAAAGAATGAGTATATTTAACCAATAAATTCTTATAAGGTGTTACAGATTAATTCAATGAAAATGGGTGTAAATGCAATAAAATTACCATTTGTACAAGTACATGGGAATTCTTTATTTTTCACATAGAACATGTCACTCTGCTGTGAGACACGGGTGGGAGCAAAGCTTGGAGTCAGAGTGGCATTAGTATGGAGTTCTTGGGCTTCAGGGCCTTGACCGGGACCCAGCAGTAATATGATTCCTCTGTCGGGTGATTCAGGGCACCAGTCCAGACATGAGTCCTAGCCAGCTGGGTAACACACCAACCTAATTTCACACACTCACTGTTTCATTTGTGTTCTTGTGTAAATATAAAACTTCCATAGAAGCTGGAGCAGTTAAACAGCACAAACGGTGTGGCAAATGTCCTTGCTGCAAACACAGCAGCAGAAGGTGGACCAGACTGATGTAAAGAGAAAATAAAAAGCTAACAATGTGCTTTATTTACGGAGGCAAAAATAACACAATAAGATGTATCACCACTAGGAGAATAAATATATCATATACAGCTTCTGATTGTTCAGAAAAGTGCAAATTTTTCATAATGCTAAGAAGATCTTCCAGGTAAGTATTGTTTTTAGCAAACTGCATACTTTTTCCTCAACCCTTTTACTTTGATACTGGAGAACTAATGGGGAGGGGTGTGTAAAACATTGCTAATGCTATGCTGCATTATCACAAAATGGCTGCCTCCATGGGAACAGGAATGTCATGTGACTTGGGAGTAAATACAGAACACCATCCACCCTGGCCTCCTATAAGGAGTGCAAACTGCTCGTCATGTGACCAGCTGGGACCAGTCCAAGTGGAGAGTAAAGGAAACTGTTGTTTCCTACAGACCTGGGGTATGTTTCCCAAAGGCTCCCATTAGCAACTTGCATAGTTGGAACTGTTCAGTTGCATGGTTCCAACTCTGTAAGCTGCTAACATTGTTCGGAACTATGCTTCTGGGAAATGTAACCTTCAATGATTTGCCGCAGCTCACATTCACTAGTGTGGCAAGAGAGCTACTGTACTGTGCATTAATGTAACTCTGTGGTTAAGCATAACCCGTGCTATAATTTTGTGTTAAAATTTCAGTTCCATGAAATTGGCTTTGTAAGCCTCGTTGGTACCGATGCGCTTGACACTGTTTTTGCGGTGGGATGTATGGCGAGAAACGTAAACGACCCTCCGTAACAGCTATACGTGATGCTGGCTGATGATGCTCTGTATGTTGGTGCTGAGGAGGTGAGACCCAGCATGCAGAAGTGGCATCCTGAAGGTGGAGACAGGACGGCCTACTGGGTTGCCGGAAACGCCCGTCCTAGCAGGATCGGGGGTTATGTAGAAGCCAACCACCAGGGCTGAGTTGGGGGTGGGGCTATCGGGCAGTGAGAGGGAGGTTTGACTGGAATGGGTGTGGGACGGGGGCTGGCTGGGTGCTAGGATCGGCCCCGGAAGCTGTCCAGGTTGAAAGCAGTGTTCAGAAAGCGCTGGAGCTCCACCACATGAGTCCTCTTGTTCCCGGTGGCAGGTGCGGCTGCGGGGTCCCTGCCGGCATACCTACAGGGCACGAGAAGCAGAAGAGGGACCGTGAGAGGACCGCTCGATTGGGGAAAAGGCAGGGGGCGGGGAGGTGGAGCTTACCACACGGCCCGGGAGTCGGCTGTGCTGCTGCGGAGGCGCGGCTTCACATAGTCATAGTAACCCTGGTTCTTGTGCTCCTCCTGGCACCACAACAGCTCGGCCCCCGCGTACTTATCGGCCTCTGCCTTCACCAGGTCGAAGGGGAACGGAGATAGCTGTGTACAGAGAATGAGCAGGCGTGTGGGGCAGGCCATGTCTGATCGATGGTGCAGCGACACCTCCAGTGGAATTTTATTTACACACATCTTTGAAGAGCTTTGCGGTACATTTTTTCCGCGGTTCGCAGCCGTAAAGCTGCCAGCTGAGCGCCGAGTGCCCATGGACGGTACCTGCTCGATGCGGGTGATGGCCACCGTGTGCTCCATGTCACGTGTCTTCCGCTCCTTTGTCAGGTCATAGTAGACTTTCCCCGTGCAGAAAATGAGGCGCTTCACTGTCCCCGGGCTCTGGGACGCGGGGCCTTCCTCTGCGATCAGGCGCTGGAAATGCGTGCCTTGACATGATAGGGATAGTGTCACACACAAAGGGTCACCAAGACCATTTCACGGCATATTTCTTATTCTTGGCTTTTGTGGTCTTGCATGTTATGTCAGGGACCCCCTAGACTTTCTGCAAAAATGTGGACTGTCCATGCAGAAACATGAATTGTCTGTGGGTTCCTGAGGACCGGGTTGGGAAACACTGGTGTAACATACCTCGTACATTTCACAAAGGTGCAGAGAAATTAGCTGAATGTTTAATGCTGCTCATCTAAAACAAGAATATAATGGGACAGCCTAAAACTGTCCCATTCACTGCATTGCCACATGGCTTAGTTCACACACAGACTGGCATTTGATTGGTGGACTTTTGCTCGTCCCATTCCGCTCCTCAACTGTCTCACCCGGCAACATCTCATCAAAGCTGGATTTGGCCTCTGGGTGGCGCAGCAGTGACTTGGGGGTGAAGATGATGAGCTGTGATTGGGGGACATAAGCAGATGGTCAGACCTTAACTGAGGGTGTCAGTGGGTTTGGGGGAATATCAGTTAAGACTCACAGGTTTCCTGAAGGGCAGCAGGATCTGTCTTCTCAACACATGGAAGTAATTGCTAGGAGTGGAGCAGTTGACCACAATCCAGTTGCATCCATATAGTTGCCTGACCGCGAAGTCCTCTGTTATTTTCTGCAGCAGGAAGGAGTTGGGGAGCAGGGAGTATTTAATGCACGTTTAATGCAGCAAACACACCTGATTACTGAACAACAACTTCATTAAATTAGCCTGTTGCTCCTGACTGCTGCATGAAAACTAACTAATGCTGGAATATAAGCAAGATGGTTCGGGCTTCGGCAAAGGAATTGCTATAACTCAGAGGTGGATGGTTCAGGTCATGAGAGTACAAATCCAGACCAGGATTTTATTTCAACAAAGCAGTTGAGCATAAAGAGTCACAGTCACAGAGTACTCAGCTGGTTGGTTGAAACAAAATCTTGGTCTGGATTTATACTCTCTGGACCAGAAATCTCCACCTCTGCTATAACTTCATTCAGCTTCAGGCTGTGGGAATGTGACTCACTGGGAATACATCTGGGTCATCGTTGCACATCTGCAGGAACCTTTCTGGACGAGCAGAGGAGTGTTCTGGGCCCTGGGGGAGGAATGTGGAGGGGGGTAGAACCATAACAGAATCTTCTACCAATCACTGTCCTCAAGCTGGTCAACCATAGGCTCTCTCACCATGATTTAAAAAAGCTTAGTTCTTAAAAATGCAAATGGTCTATTTGTCACAAATCGATGGGAAGCCATTTATAAAGTGATGGTGATATCTGATATATGCTGACCATGCCCTCCATGCCATGGGGCAGCAGCATCACGATGCCGTTCTGACGGACCCACTTGGCCTGGCCGGAGGAGATGAACTGGTCGATGATGCCCTGGGCCGTGTTGTGGAAATCTCCAAACTGGGCCTCCCACAGTACCAGGGAGTTGGGGCTGGCCATGGCAAAGCCCAGCTCAAAACCTGCCCACCCCCAGAAGTAAAACAGAATGGAGAATGGATAAAATACCTACAGGCCATTCACTGAAGAGCTTCTTAGCCAAACATAAGTGTTTTAACACAAAATCAAGGTACGAGCATCCCAGCCCTTACTCATCAGTACTGTATTGTTCGCTCATGGGAGTTTCACTTACACAAAAATGTTCTGAGGGCAGAAGAAATTATCGGTTCACAGAGATAACCAATCATATTGTAGAGGAGATGGGTCCAAGTAACTAAAGGAGGCAGGCCCAACCAATCAGATGTCTTGGTCTTGCCTCCTCTCGTTACTTGAACCCACCCCCAAGTAGACCTCCCACTAGTGTACTGTTCACATTTATCAAAGTTCATGAATAATGGTGGAGGGTTGGGTTGAGCTATCATGTATATATAAAAGGACATGGGGACTGGACTGGGAGGGGTGGACTGACCCAGCACGCCGTACTCTGAGAGGGAGCTGTTGCACACGGTGTAGGGCGCCTGCTTTGGGGACAGGTGGTTCATAGGAACGCAGGTCCTCTTGTCCACGTTCTGGTCATGCAGCACGTGGTGACGATGGCTGTGGGAGAAAAAGGAGGAGGAATGAGGAGGGGAGCAGGTCAGCTGGGCAAAAACACATCACATTCATTCACTGCAAACTGTTCGTCACCCACCCAAGCACAAGGTAACGTGCTAAAAAACTTAAACTATTAACACCTTTAACTTAATATCATGAATAATGTGCTAACAATCAATTGGAGCAACAAAAAACTGCATAGAGATTACAGTTTGTCCATTGCTGTAGGTGGACGTGCCAGACCATCAGTGCGAACCTGAAGGTGCCCCTCTCGACGTCCTGGCCACTCAGGCGCACATGGATGCCTTCCTGGAGCAACGAGCCGAAGGCCAGGTATTCGGCCAGGGCCCAGTCCACCGTGCGCCGCTGGATCATGGCTCCCCGGCTACTCAGGATGCGTGTCAGTCCTGAGTCACAAGTAGGCGAATAGCAGGAGTGAGGAGCAGCCCCGTGTGCATGGCGAGGCGTGTCCACACTCGTGTCCGTGTGTGCGAAAGGCACTACAGACATCCTCAGGCGTGTCATATTGTGGAATCCGGCCGCTCGTGTGTACTCCTGTCACCACACCTCTGCCTTTGGTAAAGAGTGCACGAGAGTGTGTGCTAACACATCTTTGTGTCCGGTAAAGAATGCATAGGCTAACACACCTGCGTGGATAGTGAAGTTTTCCACAGGCACAGAAGAGGCCACCTGGCCGATATGGACCAGCTCGTCCTCTTTCAGCCCCGTGGATGGGCAGCTCATACTCTTAGGCTGGCCGTCCAGAGTGAAGAAGCCTGTACGTACAGCCGTAAGGGTGGAGAGAGACACCGGGACAGATCAGTCCTCCTTTAAACACAAAGAAATCTCAAGACCTCAATGCTACATAATTACTTCATTCAAATAATCGAAGCATAAAACAATTACAGGAATATTTGCAGGGCCAGAGGTACAAGGTTGGAATTTATTTTAAAAACATCTAATGTTTTGCTATGAGCTCAACCCTAAATCATCCTCTGGAAGTCTGGCAGCGGTTACCGAAATCAGAACTGGTCAATGGGCCATGGTGAGCATAACCCAACCAAGAACCGCTCACCCAGACTGGGTCATTCATAGCTGAATTCAGAAGGGCTCACCAGGCCAGGGGGAGTCTAGCCAGTGCTTGATGTGGAGGATCTTCTCATCCTTGGAGCGAGTGTATGCATCCTCGCAGATTTTGTCATACTTTGCCACCTCCTCCTGGGGGAGATCCACACACATTGTGTTAGCTCCCTCCTTCACCCCCTGTCTCTCCCCACCCCATCACACTCTGGAGTGGATGATGTCACCTCATACTCCTGCCTGGTAACAATGCCCTCTGTAATCAGCTTCTCCATATACTTCTGAAGGACCCCTTTCTGCTTTTGGATCTTCTTGTACATGAGAGGCTGTGTGAACATGGGCTCGTCCATCTCATTGTGGCCATTCCGTCGGTAGCACACCTGAAGTCACACACACATATAAACACAGGTTTGTAATTATATCTTTGTGGGGACTCTCCATTCATTTCTATTGGGAAAACTTTAATCCCAGCATGAAGACCTTAACCCCTACCCAGCCCTAACCTTACCCATAAAAAACCAAACAAAATACAAGACATTTTTATTTTTTGATAGCGTTCACAGATCTTTGTGGGGACCTGAAAAATGGTCCCCACAGTGTAAAAAATAACTGTTTTTTGTCACATTGAGAGGTACATTTGGTCCCCACAATGTAATATAAACATAATCCACACACAGTAAACTTTAGCCTTACTCTGCATTTGCCTTAATGCAGTAGTAAAAGCAGCAATATTTCCTACCATACGCAGAGTTTCTGCAGGTATCAAAAAGTTACATTTAAGACTTTTGAATGCAACTTTATAAAAGTACAGTGGTCCCAAGTTCCAACTGAAACCGTGGGTAACAGCAAACCATCTGCAGACCCATATATAAAGTGATTTTCATGTACATATGGTAAAGTTAAATTGATAAATAACACACAGTAAGACATGATCAACATTAAATACAATAAAAACAAAGCACATTGTACATAATCAAGGTTGCCAACTTTGATCAGCTGGCTGGAGTGAGATCTTCAACTCGAGTTAAGTCTGCACACGCGTTTACATGTATGTATGTAAGAGTTTTATTCCTTGTAAATAGTCTGTAGGGTTTGCACACTACCCCAGCACTTTTGATGTAGCTAATTTTACATTTATAACGGAATAATATAGATTTGCCGTAAGATTTCTTGCGCGAGCGTGACAGTCTGAAAGCGTGAGTTCATGCCAGATGCGTGAGAGCTGGCAACCCTGCAGTATGAGACATTACTGTATAGTCTGGCAACCGTGCCAATGAAAGGGATTCTGATGTTACAGCCGAATTCTCAGGAAATGATATAGCAATGAAAAAACTTAGCTCACAGCCTGTACCTCCTTGCCACGTGATTTTAAACTTATCAACTGTTCTGTAATTTTAAAACTTCTTTCGGGCTGTAGTAAACTGAAGATAACTGAATTTTTAAACCTGTCAAACTCGTATTTAAGACATTTTAAGGCCTAAGGCCTAGATTATTGGATTTTAGATTTTTTAAGGACCAACGGAAATAGGCCAATTGCGTGCGGTTCTAACAGCATGTGACATGTGCCATGTGACATGTGACACTGCCACTTCCCTCCTACTTTCATAACCTCACAACCACTTAGAGCCAGGAAAAGACACGTAAATGACAGATTTAGCAATGTCACATTTACATAAAATTTTCATGAGGCTTCTCCAGCTGTCCTGAAGGAGGTCCTACGCACGGTATATGCTGAGCACTGAGTGGTCGCCTTTCCTTCACTCTCTGGTCAAACTCCTCCAAAACCATGTATACTGTGTTTAGGTCTGACGGCCAGGTCATGTGAGGCTACACTATCACTCTCCACTGCAGACGGCTTGGCACAACCAAACCTTTGACTGGTTGTAGGCAAGACATGTACCACGGCCAAAAGAGCGGAGGCCTACCAGGTCCACGACCACGTCCTTGTGGAAGGCAGCCCGCCACTCAGCCGCTACGTTGCACACATACATGACGGCCTCGGGTTCGTCGGCGTTGACGTGGAAGATGGGCGCGTTGACCACGCGGGCCACGTCGGTGGGGTAGGGAGACGACCGTGCCACACGGGGGTCTGTTGTGAAACCGATCTGAAGGCGTGGGTTTGGAATGTTAGAACGACTCAGCGAAAGGTCACACGAGGGCATTTCTAGTAACTCATAATTAATTTACTTCTGGGAATTAATTTGGAATGCAACAGACCTGGTTGTTGATGACGACATGCACGGTACCGTGCGTGGTGTAGGAAGGCAAGTCGCTCAGGTGGAATGTTTCGTACACGATGCCCTGCCCAGCGAAAGCGGCGTCGCCGTGCAGCAGGATGGACGTTACCTGGGAGGTAGACACCTGTCAGCACAGCTGCACCGCACTTCCTCATGCCGCTTTCATGCCAGACTTGCTATTCCATAGCTTACCGACATTGGGTACAACAACTGACAGATATATGTACTGATTCCCAGCTGAACATCTGAATAAACCCTTCGCCGTTTGTACCACTTATACTCAATGGTCAGTGTATTAGGTATATTAATTTATTAAAGCAAACAACCAATCATGTGGCTGCGACTGAACACTGCACAGTTACGGTTTGGCTATGCATTAGAACAAACAATTTTATAATTTTTTTTGAATGTGATGATATTGATGGTTCCAGCACATCTGAAGCCCTCCTGGGATCTCACACACTACAATGTCATTAGTTTACAATATTAACATATTGCGGTAGTTCATCCTGGCTTTGCCGAGTTCGATGTGTCCCTGGGTCAACAAGGCAGGGGCTTGTGTTTAAATTTCTTTAACCAGTCACAATCTTCATCGTATGACATCACCACATCGGGCCTTTCTTTAACCAATCACAATCTTTCATCGTATGACATCACCACATCGGCTCTTTCTTTAACCAATCACAATCTTTCATCGTATGACATCACCACATCGGGCCTTTCTTTAACCAATCACAATCTTCATCGTATGACATGACCACATCGGGCCTTTCTTTCTCATTTTCAAACTCTAGGCTTCTAGTCATCCAGCCATTATGCCAAGGACAGTGTGGCTCAGCAGGGTAAGCCTCTGGGCTTGTGATTACAAGGTTGCTGTTTCAAGCGTATTATTAGTTATTGATTTTTTAAATTATTTTTATTTTACTACTATTATCATCATGAAATGAAGACACACCCATACATTGCTCCACACAGCCCTTGCAGGTAAACACATTCCCATATTTTGTCTATATTTATCTTAACAAAAGGCAAACAGAATAAGACAGGTACCATACAAATCTGTACACCTTGCTGCTTAACAGAAAACGCTGGTTTTAATTAATGTGGCGATGCCATAAGATGAAGACCCAGGAACACATCGAATTCTGCAAAATCAGAACATGTGTTCAATGGGTGAAAAGAAAAATCCTTGTTAATGAGAGAGGTCAAGGGAGAATGGCTAGTCTTGGCTAAAATTAACAGGAAGTCCACAAGTGCAAAATAACACGAAAAGTACCAGCTAGGTGTAGCTAATAAAGTGGCCACTGACGACATATTGTCTATTATGCTAACTTTCTGCTATTTTCTCCCAATATGGAATGAGCACAGCAATCTGGGAGGAGTTAAGGTCAGAGTGGAGCCCGTCAGAGATGTCGTGGAAGAACGTGGCACGGTTGTCACAGGGATTGTTACCCGCTTTCCGTCAGTGTCCCCGCAGTAGAACTGCTCAGCCTTGGTTTTGCCCTGCACCACAGAGTCCACGGCTTCCAGGTGCGAGGGGTTGGCCATCAAGGAGAGCGTGACGTATCGGTCCGTCATCCGGTTGATGGTGCGATGGTACATTCCCAGGTGGTATTTCACATCTCCTGAGCCCTGGCAAGACACAGGAAAAAAGAAAACCTCATTTCAATAGGGAATATGGCCTCCCTACCACGAGGAATCTGTTCCAAGTGGGGCAAATGTGTAAAGAGAAGGTGGAGCCACATCCCCAGATGAGATGTGTTGAAAGGGTCCCATTATCCCACCTCATCTGCAGCTTCCAGCTTGGAGTCAAACTGGCAGAAGATCTGCTCCAGCTCCTTGCGGATGACATTGGCCAAGACGTTGAGACGACCTCTAAGCACGGATGGGGAATATTTACTTAATTTGAATGTAGAAATTTAACAGCATGAACATGCACAGACAACTCATTATGTGTACGAATCTGAACTTCACCACACTGAGCTTAATTAACATTAAATTAAGGAATAAATATAATTTAAATTAATCTTTTGGATTTGCCCTGAGACCAAAACGATGACAGCCAAAACGGCCGCCATGGCAAGTGTACCTGTGCGACATGCCTATGATGACACTCTCCACCCCGTTCTGGCTGGACTTGTCGATGATGGTCTTGAGGGCGGGGATCAGCGACTCGCACCCCTCCAGGCCGAATCGCTTCTCTGAGGACCACTTCCTCTGCAGGAACTCCTCAAACCTGCCACGCGACGACAGAGAGCCAAGCAGACTCTCAGGCTTGGAGTCAGCCATGCTATGTTGCTTTGCTCGAGGGGGGGCTATGATTTTGACTGGTTATATTTACCTTAATGTGAGCTGTGTGGTCCCATATATGGCATATTGTTTTAAAGTTATTGTCCAATAGCTGGACAATAGCTTTAAAACAATATAAGGACCATTTATGTGCAGCTTATATTAAGGTAAATATAGCCAGTCGAAGTCATAGCTCCCCCCCAAAAAAAAGTTAAAACTTTATTCGCTTAAATCTCCCTCAATATTGATCCAAGACACGCCCAATTTCAGTTTCATTAGTTACTATGTGATCAAATATATGTGATCAAATCAGCAAGCCAAGTTTTGTTAAAATCCATGACGTTGTGGTCCAAAAGTGTGATGATTTGACATGGAATGACCCATACAGTTCAAGGAAGCGTATGGAGGTGTTGGCTAACTGACTGTGCCGTCAGGGGCCTGGCGGTGGGGGGGGCGATACGAGGAGAGCGGGGCCAACCTAGTGGACCGGATCATCCGGGCCAGCAGGGTTCTCTTCTCCTCCAGCGTGAACTCCATCACACCAGGCTTCTCAAACTTCTGCCGGATCCACTGGCACTGCTCCAGGTCATTGATGAACATGAACTCCACCCCGATGTGCTGGCAGTACGCCATCTAGGGGGGGGGGGGGGAATACATATGAGCTACATACTGCTGTTCTGATGCTTGAACAGTCTGAGCTCCGCAAACTATTCTACTGACTCCTCCCTCGCACTAGTTTTCTGTCGCTATGCCAATTGTATGACTTTTGCAAGAAGAGGTTAATGTCATGACCCCTTGGTACACATAGATAACTGGAACTGGCTTTAAATGACATTTAGTGCTGTTCCAAACCCAATACATTTATTGTTTGTGTGTGGGGGGAGGGGGGGGCTGGCGGACCTCAAGGCGACGGATGATTTCCCTCAGGGGCAGGACGCTCTCGTTGCCCCCAATGAAGGTGGTGGTGGGGAGTCGGAACACCTTGTCCAGGTCGGCCTCCTCCAGCCCGTAGAATCCTGGATAGGTGAGGGAGGGGGGCAAAAGCAAAAGTAGGGTGGGGCAGGAAAGTTGGAGGTAATGGAGGGCAAAGGGGGCAGACCAACATAGACCAGAGACACAGGGGGGGACCAGAGCACCAAGGAAGTCAACGAAAACAGTGAGAAAGAAAAAAAAACACAATAAAAGAAGCATTAGGGAATGCGGAGCAAGCTGCTTACAGGAAATCAAAGCTAAGTTCCTGATGACATACAGATACAGATAAATGCATCAATGGTGCAGCAGCATTCATGCTATGTTAGAAATGAATGCCGAGGCACCGGCAGAGAATGAGCAGTAAGACAGCAGGGGGTGACAGATGAGTCAGTAAGAAGTGACAGGTTTGGGGGATACAATGTGGTTTTAGTGGTGCTACTGTAATCCTCAGCTGAATTGAGATCAGTTCATCTGGTTGCAATGAGAATGAGCAATTAGTGGGATTTGCCAGGATAAAGGCAACTAAATTCTGTCCCGGGCTGGTACCTCCTAGGTACCTTATCGTCAGATGGGTGGCAGATTCCACAACATCTATCGCTACGTCTTAAAACCCTTATTTGGGCCGCTGCTCCTCCCTACCTTCCCTTCACCCTGGAAGTTATTGAAGTGTTGTCCCAATACCTTAAGGAAGAAGTCAGCGAGGGCCGACTTTCGCTCAAAACACCCCTTCGCCGGGGGCGTGTTGAAGTTTAGTCAAGAGTTCCCTTCATGTAAGAGAAATTCAGTGCAGAGATGGATTAGAGTTTAAAACCCAAAGCATTTTGTTAATATGGGAAGGGTTTCAGGAGCAACCGCCATCCCCCCAACCCCCACCTCAACCCCCCCCCGAAAACACTTCTATTCTTTGTGAACCTTGAAGATCACTTCCTCTCCTAGACTCCCTGTGAGAGGACAGGGAGTAAAATGTGTGTGATCAGCCCAAAGCTCAGGACCCGTGTTATCATGGGGACATAAGACAAGGCCTGATGTCATGGCAACACGGTCTGCAAAGGATNGTAAGAGAAATTCAGTGCAGAGATGGATTAGAGTTTAAAACCCAAAGCATTTTGTTAATATGGGAAGGGTTTCAGGAGCAACCGCCATCCCCCCACCCCACACCTCAACCCCCCCCGAAACCCACTTCAATTCTTTGTGAAAACTTAAGATCACTGCCTCCCCTTGTCTCCCTGTGAGGGGCCAGGGAATAAAATGTGTGTGATCAGCCCAAAGCTCAGGACCCGTGTTATCATGGGGACATAAGACAAGGCCTGATGTCATGGCAACACGGTCTGCAAAGGATACCAAGGAAGGAGAGAGAACAAGGATCCCACCTGAAGCTGCAGGGCTAAATCCACACACTTTATGTGAGAGAAAATATTGCATTGTTACATGTTTAAGTAATTAATATGCGACATTATCATTACAGGATGAGCAATGACTTGCTGTTCTAGAACCCAAACATTAAGTACAGCTGACAACCCTTCATAAGAAGGTGAAATTCTGAGGTCCATTCCTCCATTCTCACTCACATATCCTACTGAGGGGAAAATAAACCAGAGATTTCAGAACTCATCTCTCCAGGAAACATCTAATCAGATGGTACACTATGTAAGAATATATAGTTCAACAACAAAGCAATAGAACACAGTCTTTCTGAAGAACGTGGGAACGGAGGACATCAAGCAATCTGACGTTTACCGGGCCTCTCTGCAATCTCATGAAGATAAACACACAGCAGAGCTCAAGATCATCTGTGTCGTATTTACAGAACAGAGAGAGGAGAGGCACCCCACCCCTCAGGAGCTTCTCCGTTTCTTTAGATCTGTCCGCCACTGGGACCAGTTTGTTAAAGATTAGACTGCACGGTCCAAAGCCCACTTGAACGTGTTCATGTTTTGCGTCCAAGGGTTGCTGTAGGGTTCTGCTACTCGCCCTTTTATGGCACATATTTCAACGTGAAGAACAGTTTTGTTTTCATGTATTTTGCATAATAAGCAAAATTTTATGTTGTGCAACTCACCATTACTTTCTGATCTAGACTCAAGTATGAAAACCATCCAATAAGCCGACAAAGGAGCCTAAGTCACTTTCTTTCCTTTTCAGGGCTGCCGACTTTGGTCAGCTGGCTGGAGTGAGATTCTCAATTCGAGTCAAGTTTGCTCACACATGCACATGCATTTACATGCGTGTAACAGATTTATCTCCTTGTCTGTAGGCTTTGCAAACTACCCAGTGCTTTTGATGCAGCTAAATTTAGGTTTATATAGGAATAATATCGATTTGCTGTGAGATTTATAGCGTGAGTGTGGAAGTAGTTGGCAACCCTACCTTTTTAACCCTTAAGCAGGGTTTAATTAGCTAATTAGTGAATGTGCCCTGTGATGGGTTGGCCCCCCATCCTTGGTTGCTCCCCACCTTGCTCCCATAGCCTCTGGGATAGGATTCGGACCCCCCGCAACCCTGATTTGGATGAGCAGGTATAAAAAAATGGATAGTGTATTTTTATTTGTTTGTATTTTCACTGAGTTTTTTTTATTATCATTTTTACTGTTCATAATTTAGTTTTAATTTCAGTTTTAGATTAGTTTAGGGGCGCTATCATTCAGCAGGATCTTGGATGGGACAGACACTGTACTGCAGTTACCTGCAGTGCTTGTTTTTCCTGTGAGAACCCGAGAAATTTGGGCTGCGTCAAGCACTACTGCTCCAGTTCTACACTGCATTACTGGAGCCCATCCTCACATCCTCCATCACCCTCTGGTACGGTTCTGCATCTTCGCGCACCAAGCGAAAGCTGCAGCAAACAGCACGATGTGCCGAGGAAATCATCTGCTATAGGCTCTCCACCATCGAAGTCCTCTACTCATCCAGGATGAAGAAGAAGGTGGAGAAGATGATGGCTGACCGCTCACACCATGCCTCACTCTGTCCTTCAGTGTCTCCCATGAGTGAGACTCATAAAGACTCGGACCAACTGGCACCTATTGCGGCTGGCAATACGAAGGCAGGCAAACTGCACAACCTGCTTGTCATCCCCTGTGGTCGAGATGAAATTATTTTACCGGGGTGGTGGGGGGGATCACATCTTTGCGGTGGTGGGCTTACAGATACATATTTTGTGGTTTTCCCTACACAGATAGGTGATTAATAACTGTTATAGTTGCCGACAATGAAAGTTAGTGGTGCAGATTAGTGGAATGATGTTGCATGGTTTTTTTTCTGCGGACACCTAATGATTGATCTGTGGGCCAGATTTCATAATGCAGTTTAAACACGCCCTAGGCTGGTCTAAGTGGTGAATGAGCCAACATGGAAAAATGGCTGAATGTCCAATGCCATTTTCTCCATTGCTTTAGTAGTTTAGTGTCTTTAGCTGTGGTTCTGTTGGCTTTAAATATTAATAAAGGTGAAATATTGGACAAGTTTGATCTTTAACGAATATCGGCTGACACTGATATTTTGACTAATATCCATGCGGGAAATGTGAGAAGGTAAGGACACACATGCAAAGGAAGCAGATGATGGAGGTTTTGGAATGGGTGGTACAATGAGCTCCAAAGAGCAGCAGGGCAGAGAGTCTGCCCTGTAGCCATGGAAACCTGCCCCCCCCCCCACCCCCCCACCGAGTTTCATGCAGTAACTGCCCTCACCAAGTCCATCCGGGGATGTGATTATGTCAGTGAGGACACAGGACTCCATATCAGCGTCCGTATTCCTTACTGGGTCCAACTGAGTAACTTGGAGCCCACGCATCTACAGGTCCACCCACCGACAAGAAGAACAAAGAAAATATAAAAGGAGGAGATTCAGAATCTGAGGCAGAGAGTGAGGATTGAGGTAGGTGACGGAAAAGGGGGCAGGAAGCAGCATTAAACAGAAACAGAGTTGGCAAATATAACAGCTGTAACGACCCTCACCGGCTCGATGGAACCCAACAGTTCCTGGGGCATCATTGGAACTGATGCCCAGAGGGTCCAGTTTGGCTATGTGATGTCCTCTCACCTGTAAACGAAGCAACAATGGTCAAGCCGTTGTGTGACAGCACACAGACAGAGGAACACATCAAATGGCACAGCTATGACCCAGTGTTTATCTAATACGGCTGTTTATCAATGCAAAAGAGCACAAAGAAAGTACTTATGTTCCTGGCAAGAACATTCTTGCTAAATTGCCTCCCAAGAACGAACTTGTGATGCAATGAATCACGGGGCTGTTCTCGTTAGAGAGGATGCATCCTTGATGTTTGGGACGGGGCAAGAATGACATCAGGGGATTTTTACCGTCCTCCGTACTTTTATTCTTGAGTATTGGATGTAGTCATGCCAAATCTTTTCATTTAGGAAATTGTTTCCACTCTTCACCTGGTATTGTTTTATTTAGCCGTTATACAAACTTAACAATGACAAATATACAGATAAAGTCTATATATATATGAAAATAAAACCGTTTACTTTAGACATTCATGTTAGGCATGGAAATGATTACAAGCATTCAGACTGTGTAGGCAGTGGGCACCAGACTAACCTGGTAGGCACGGATGAGGGACTGTACGGCCAAGTGATCCTCCACCAGCTTCTCCGTGCTGGGCTGTGCCCCTACCAGTGCCTGGCTGCGAGCCACCCCCGTCAGAGAAGAGGTGTGGCAGGCTGTACCTGGGGGAGCCCCAGAGTTGGCGTTTCGGAAGTAGACGTCCCATGACTGGAAAAAGGAGAGATAAGGCTATTTGTCAACATACAAGTCTGATGCATGGTGCACATGAGAGATCACCATCTACTCAGATCAGGTCAAAGGTACAACATATAACCTGAGTTCCAAACTGGAGCAGAAATGAGACCCACTTCAATGCCACTTGATGTTATAAGCCATTGGTTTTCAACCTGCCTTTCTGCAACGAGGCAGCCTGAAATGAAACCCGACCAGACAGAGGGACCCCTAATCAAATAAGTAACAAAATAATCAGCAATCTGGCAATTTACCATTAATGCAAGGACCTCCAGGGAGTCATGGAGAACAGGTTGAAACCTCTGTTTGAGGCTATTCACTAAATCGGCATCACTCCGGAGTCGCCTGCATTGAACTGCTGTATCAGCAATCTTCAAATCATCATCTGCATATTTAAAGGTACATCACAAACAAGGGCAGCACAGACGATTCCACACCCAGCGCAAGATCTACATATCATCTCTGCCCTACCACAGCAAAGTCCACGTTTTTTTTTTTTTGTCAGATAAATATTGGCTGAAGTATAATAAACTGTTCACAGGACACCTAAGTTGTTGTATCTTTTCTGTTTGTAAAGAGACGGAGTGTTGGGCTGGGTACCGTTAATGATTGGCTGACTGGGCATTTTTAATGAAGCTGTATCTGTGGTCATCTCCCTGTGCTGATATGGCTGGAAACAGGCGATAGAGGGGTGTGAGGTGACGTGTGTGTGTGGAGGGGGGATTTCCCAATGAAATGTGACATCACTATTTGCAATGGCAGGGACGGGGTGTCCCAGCACATCCGGTTACTTCTAGCTTTGTCAACATTAGGGACAATTCCAGTAGGGGTGGGGGTGATAGCGTTGGTATGGGTGCGTATGTGAGGGAGAGTCAGGGGTACACGTGCATCTCAGGAACCTGCAATCCTGCATTATGTTTGCCTGCTCCTAGCTAAGCCCCAGGTGCATGTGACTCCCGATCTCAGAGGTGCTGAGATTAGAACGTTCACAGTGTCTCATGGGAACCTCATCACCTCAAAGCACATAGACAACTTCCAACTAGATAACAGCCTATTACTCAATACCTGTCACTGACCCGTATGTCTTTGTAGATGCTGCCTTTTCTGTTCTCGTTCTGTGGTCAAAGCTGGACAGAGCACAAACCATCCCAGAAGCGGGCCCGAGATGAGCCTGACTCACCCATTAATATGACAGAATTAACTACCTGGGAAGCTGAGAAATGTCCTATAAATAAAACAGTGAGTACGAGTCTGAATCACAGCCTTGTGGTTTTCATACAGTAATCACAACTCTCAGATTATGTCACCAGGCACAAAACGAAAGCTCAGACAAAGCCAGAGAGTGACAGGCACACCATGACCTGATCTGTTCGTTTCCCCAACTCTCTTACTCACTAGATCAAGGTCAGGTCAAAGGAAATTATTATTTACTGGCTGCAAGATCAACACAGACTGTCCTGTGACCACAGCAACGCAGCTATGATAGGGTCAGCATGTGACGCGGGAGAACATCGGGAAAGATCAGCCTGTAGAACGCTGGGAAAAAGACCCGGGCACCTGCTCTATTTTGAACACACAGCTTGAAGTTCAAGTGCAGCTCTAAGGTTCAAGCGGGGAAGAGGAGGTGGAAGCTATAAGCTCAAGGACGAGCGTAGCCGCTTGTAGTAAATAATCAGCCGGTATAACCTTCATGTAGCCTGAGCGAGTACGGAGAGAGAACGCTCTCCTCTCTACGTGCTGAGGCGCCTTCCAGTCCTCGGGTCACTGTGCCCCAATGGGATAAATGCTTGGGCTTCAGCCAAATCACCTACAGTGATTAATGGGGCCTGAAGTGGGTTGGGGGGGGGGGCTCACATAACACTGCAGAAGCGACTTTGTACCTAAAATATGGAGAGTTTCACTTATATGCTTACAGTAAGACAACAGGCTTCAATAGCACAACCCACGGCAATCATAGTTAAGTCGCAGTATCCAGTGTAAAGCTAACATAATGAATGAATGTTGACAGATGAGGATGAATTAATATCGTTACACAAGAGTATAACAGCAGGTCCATGCTTCAATGACCAACCTCCTGGCTGAAGTCCATGATCTTACCTACTGATACCCAGTGACCCCAGACGGGGCCCCATGCTTAGGAGGGGGGGGGGGCGCCGTGGCTAGACGGGGCTGACATGGATGTTTGTGTCTCATCCCAGCCGGTTCCTCTGCAGCCCCTTTCAGGCACAGACAACCCGATTTATGACTAGTGCAGTATCAGTCATGCGTTGCTTAATGACAGAGATACCTTCTGAGAAATGCATCGTCAGGCAGTTTCGTCATTGTGAGAACACCGTAGAGTCTACTTACACAAACCTAGATAGTATAACCTATTACATACCTAGGCTACATGATATATAGCCTAAATAACGATAAAAAGTAAAGTATAATTAATACATACACCAGTAACTTGTGTTTACTATCATTATGAAGTATTATGTACTGTATATAATTGTATGAACTATACTTTTACACGACTGGCAGTGCCATAGGTTTGTTCACACCAGCATCACCACAAACACGTGATTAACGTGGCACGCTACAATGTCACTAGGCGATAGGAAATTTTCAGCCGAGTATAATCTTTTGGGACCACCGTTGTATATGCGGTTCGTCGTTGACAGTAACACGGCTATGTGACGAATGACTGTATCAGCATTCGGGGGAGGGGTGACCTTGTTTTGAAAACGACCTCAGGTGTTCAGTCTCCTCTCTGACACAGTCTTTAGGATTTTTTCCTGCTTAAGCAACTTAAGCAAAAACCAGGCTGAACGTGGCCATAATTATTTGCAAGTTTTGTAAAGTGCTTTGAGGAAAAAAAGGGGACTGAATAAAACGGTAAGCAGGTGAAATTCAAAACTGTTGCTTTTGAGGCATTTGGAACCAGCATTACTGTTTACGGGAGACTTAACAGATATGCAAGTGCTGTTTACAGGTTGTGGAGCATTGTGCTGCTGCACCCCTTGTAACAGACTGGAAAGAGTTCAGGGCAGATTATGGCTGATTCTCTCCCTTCCTCGTTTGGAGCCATTGGAATGCCTTTACTCTCAGTAGACGACACCTCAGATCAGGATCAGAGCAGAGACAGCATGGCCCTGGGGCAGAACACACTAACATGCAGTTAAGTTATCAACCAGAAACACACGCTTGGGTGGAGCTGTTCTATCACACCTCCTCAGTAATACATACTGGTCCCAGAACAGCCATCCAGTGAAAAACTAGCAGGGAATGTCAAAACACCACAACAAAGACGGAGGCTTCACTTTGAAAAGCCCATTACTCCAGCAGAAGTGCGTGTACAGTTTATATTTATTAATAAGAATAAATAATAAGAATAATACAGCTGGACTTTGGGGGGGTTGAATTCAGTAAAGAAAAAAAAATAAATACCCAATTCAGCCCCATCCATACCCATCGCCGGCGGCTTGCTGCACCTCTGTAGCACATACTGTGTGCAGCATGCGACTGTATCGGCATTCGGGGGGGAGGGAATGGGAGGGCGAGCCTGTTTTGATAACAACCTTTGTTTTCCTCCCTGACATGGCCTTTAGGATTTTTTCCAGCTTAACTTACTTAACTTAACTTAACCAAAAACTCAGCTGTGGGTGGCCATAATAATTTTTAAGTTTTACATGCTTGCCACATCTCTGTACTACATACTGCGTGTAGCACATGCCTGCATTGGCTTTGCGGAAGGGATTTCAGGGAGAACTACTGGGAAATGAGTCAAGGACTTGGCGCCACCGACACGCTGTGTATTTTCACACTGTAAATATTTTGGTTGGTTTTCCCTTTTTCCATTTAAAAGGTACCATTCAGCGGCCACTGACCCCTTTCATCCACTGGGATACATATTCTTCTCATAATCATGAATCATTAACAACTGAAACAGAGCCTCTTACGGCAACCAGAAGCACTTTCCTACCACAGAAACTATTTCCAGGAACCAGGAACATCTGTCACATTCTCACCGCAGGAACTCGGCCCAATTGAAGTTCTTAGGATAATGGTACATTATTTTTTATGCTTGAGAAACCGAAAGATTGATCCGCTGATCAAATTTAATAATGAAGTATAAACATGTCATGGGTTGTGAAAAATAAAATAATTTTAAAATGCTGTGTCCGATCATCCATCCATCCATCTGTCCATCCATCTGTCCATCCATCCATCCACCATATGGAGCTTATCCGGGGTTGGGTCCTGCGGGCAACAGTCTAAGCAGGGATGCCCAGACCTCCCCTTCTGATATAATCTCTCCAGCGTGTCCTGGGTCTGCCCCGGGGCCTCCGCCCGGTTGGACCTGCCCGAAATACCTCCCCAGGGAGCCGCCCAGGAGGCGTCCGAGATAGATGCCCAAACCACTTCAACTGGCTCCTTTTACTGCTTGAGGCAGTAACTCATCCCCCACATACAGACTGGTTAAGCAAACTTCCATGAACCCTCCAGTATCTTCGTGAGGGTGAGGAGCTGGTCTGGTGTTCTGCGACCAGGACGGAATCCGCATTGTTCCTCCCAGGTGCTGGGTTCCACTTATGGGTGAACCCTCCCGTCCAGTACCCTGCCATAGACCTTCCCAGTGAGGTTTAGGAGCGTGATCCCTCTGAAGTTGGAACACATCCTCCAGTCTCCTTTCTTAAAGATTAGGACCACAAGCCCAGTCTGCCAATCCAAAGGCACTGTCCCCAGCCGCCACACAATGTTGAAGAGGCATGGCACCAAAGACAGTTCAGCTCCTCTATTCACCCAAGTGTCCAAAACATGTGGATGCAGATCCGATGATATAATTACAAAATCAATCATCAAACTGCGGCCTACGGTGCTCAGGTGCCAGATGCACTGTGAAGACCCTTATACTCGAACATGGTGTTTGTTATGGGCAAACTGTTAGCACAGAAGTCCACTTCAGATTGATTCAGGGTTCAGATTGGACAGGCCATTATGCTATGTCCCGTTTTCAACAAATATAGAATGAGATCTGTTCCTTATTTTCGGATCGCATGATCAATCCCTCACCCTCCGCCACAATATCTAATAAAAACCTAACAAAACGACTTCTCCATCCTCCATCATTTTGGGGCTGGCGGTGTGTTTACGTATTAAATTAAGTGTGAAGTTTAACCTACGAGCTATTTGCATCTCCCATGCTTATTTAGAATAAAGATCACGGTTCCTGTTGTGCGGTGGGAAAGTAACACACAAAAGTGACCAGGAACCAAAAAGTTCCTAGGCCCAGAAACTCTGAGACAGGAACCAGATTCCTGACCTTCGGTCAAATCTTGGTCATTGTAATACAGATGCAACTATTATGAAGAATAATAACAATTCACAGATCACTGACAGTCTACAGTGTGACCTTTCTGGATTAGCTAGCGCCAAACAGTTATCTGTAACCATAATGAACAGCAATAATATTTCTGTGTTAAACTTCTATTTATGAATTTAGGTTCCACTCATATCAATAAATGTAGCCTATTCGTTCATGTCATCGTGCACCCGAAACTGCCTTATGGTACACAGCAAACACGTGCACTGTTACAGCCTTCATATTTAGCCAAAAATTACGTATTAAGATGAAAGGTGGCTGCATGCAATCAATAAAAATATTTAGTAATTTAATTTAATTTAGATCTCATCATAGTCAATGAGGAGGAAAGCTTTACTGAGACAGGTCAAGGTCTGCTATAATAGAAAAGGTCCATAATTAATCAATGACAACGTGAAGGTGGAAAAGGGTGTTTGAGGAACACATTGTGGTCGGAGCACATTTTGGGCGACACTCCCAGCGCTGCTCTGAGATCAGAGTGAACTGAAAAGAACTGGTATGCGCGCAAACAAATGCATCAGAACCCAAAGCAAATACTGCAGCAAACAATGCAGTGTGCAGAAGTGTTAGAGTCCAGTAGAACTATCACTGAAATGTAGATTTTCCTAATCTTCCTTTAACCCCCCCCCCCTCTGCTCCCAGAGCCACCACCCCCTTCTGCACCTCCTTACCTTGTGCACACTCTCGGGGTTCTCCAGCCAGGCATAGTACATCTCCTCCACATAGTTGAGGTTGCTCGCGTTGAGGAAGTGCTCAGCAGCTATGGGCGCCGTATATTGCCGCTCCCCTCGCATCGGCCTCGGATTTGCCGCCAGGCCCCACAGTGACGGCCAACGGGCAGCCTGGGGGGCCGTCAGGGGGCGCAGGCGCGTGGCACAAGTCCTTATGTGGTGCATCGCAGTCTGTCAGCAAGCCGGTCCCGCACTTTCTGCCAAACCTGCCGCTTTCAAAGAGGTCCCTTCAAGAAATTTCAAAACCAGTCTCTCTCCAATGTTCCGCTATCGATTATTCCCACTTCTGCCTCTTTTTTCCTTGATGTCCACCAGCCTGTGACAGAAATTATAACAGTAACCCGCAGTGAGTCATTCAGGAAGCACAGGAGTGTAAAAACAGGGTCCTGGGTCTGCTTAAGAGTCAGCCTTTATGTTTCAAAAATTTGGTACAACGACACCCCAGGCACAATCTGTCCTTAAACCTACTTCTCTTCTGGTTGCATGGTCAAGCATCCATTCCCAATCGATATTACAGAGGTCCCTGCATTGAGAAAGTGTTCCACAACTCAACTTATTATTCAGCTAGACCAATCAGTACTAGCCTGCTTACTACAACTCTGCACTTTGAACTAAAGGTTGTAGTAAAAAGGAAAAGACACATACTGTCCTTAACACGGGATAAGCATAAGAATGTCCTACTGAGGATCCCTTCTCCCTAAAGCGATGGCTCTCAAACTCAGCTCTGGGGGACAAATTAACATAAGGAAGACACGTCTGGCTTTTTATACACGCGGTTGACTTACAATACTCGGCTCAAAAAGACTTGTACTTTTTTTTTTACAACATATCTTAATTGATTTAGATGCTCTTGCAACAATGAACTGCACTAAATGAACTGAGAACTTGTCTTACGCGTCTTACGAGCAAACAAACAAAATGATATTTAAGGTATTACATGTATGTTTGGTAGGATATGTTTCATTTCTGATTCCCGTAGAGTGGACTTCTTGTAACAGGAACAGGAACACAAATATGTAGGGGTAAACATTTCTTGCATTTCACCTTAATCCATCAAGCCGATGGAAAATGTCAGTATTAAGTAAAACATGCCGACATGGTGACAATTTAGCCTTTAGCCTAAAAAATACGTGTCCGGTTTTAATTTCGGCATGTCACTCCGATCACTCATTTATAATTGTTCGAAGTTTGTTTGGACGGTAAACCTCTGTGAAAGCTATAAAACGGAATATTAACTATATAAAAAGCGAAAGGGTGAACGGTGACTACAAACTAAACACTGTACTGAATTCCGGGGTTGCACAGTTTCCATTTCTACACAAACCAGTTTCCCCATCGAATTGCATGAATTTTCGCACTAGGTGACAGTCTGAACAGAAAACTATGAAACATGCTAGCTGATTAATAAGCAGAAAAAAATATTATGTTCATTCATTAAATAAATAAATACATAAAGAGAGCGTGAATTTTCCAAATTTGCCGGTTTAATCACCTTCACCGGCACTGTCCCGTCACCATTGAAACTGAACACCGCTGCCCTTCAGCCGTCTGCTAAGTGCCATTAGAAACACACCAATATGTGTGTGTTCGTATCGTATTAAACGCAAAGGAGCAGAGCTTTGGAGACGTTTGCCGTGTTTTCTTTCACAGGGAAACCCATACACTCATCGGGGTCTTAGGATATTTCGGTGAGGCTAAATGATAGGAAATGGAGCAGTAGCCTACTGCAAGATAAAGTAGGCAAACGCGTCATTGGGAATCCCGGGTCCTGGGACAACGCCCCCCATGTTATACCCACTGCACAAAATATAGATCCACACATAATATTACCGGGACGGCAACTAATCACCCAAACGCATAAGCCGGTTACCTTCGTTGAGGATGTACCTGTTCTTACTCTGGAGCTCTATCCACGCCGGCTCTACAATCTATAATTCCTAGATAATCACTTGCACGTAAAATGACGGCAAAGAACAGAAATGCTTACCTTTTTGCGCCTAAAGTGATAAAATATAAAACAATTGAATTTGTAATATTTTCTGTTTGTCTAATAAAATTAAGATGTACAGCAGCTTCCTGGCAGTAACCGCGTTGTCCTCGGCAACTGGGCTGGTTACAGGCTGTGTGGAGCTGCGTCATAGCCCTTTGACGTCACAAGGCAGGAGTGCCGCAATTCCATTCAGGGACATTTAACGGGATAACGCGTAACCAAGCTCTAGGAGTAATCCTAAAACTACGCACAGTATAACAGCAATCTTATATGTTTCACTATAATTACTATGGGGTTAGAATTTTTCTTGTAATTCTCCTACTGCTTGTCCTATCCGCCATGCACCTGGCCCTTCCTCTTAGATCGGGGCATAATTTCGTTGTGTTTATGTGACAATGAAAGTTGAGACGTGATTTGCAATGTCTTATTACGTTATCAGTTTAAGCCACAAAAAGGTTAAATTAACTTATCTGTCGCAATGTTTACATTAAAAGACAGTCCTTGTTTCTAACATGTCAACCATGAAGGCAGTGTAAAACCGCAGCAAAACTGGTTACATAAAGACGACACCATGCAAAAGAGCCTCTTTGTCAACATAGAGGAACTGAATAAATACGCTGGAGAACTTTACATACAATTGTGGTGATGCGTAAAATAAGATTATAATACACAGTATATATATATACACATATATATATATAGTGCATGTATACACTAACACTATGAAGTGCAGCTGTATAACAATAAACTTATCTCTACAGATTCATGTCCCCCACTTTGAGAAAGTCTTTCTGTATCCACTTTTCTTACAGACTTTAGTGTCCTGCTGCCACTTTACCCTAGATCTGCTCCTGGACAGAGGGTGAAAGACGGGAACCTGACTCACCGTCACCCCGAGGGTTCGGGAACAGACTGGAACCGTCGCGTGTCTGCTAATGTGTGACGCAACTCTGCCGATAAAGTGTTGTTTAGCATGCGCTTTTGCAAAATAAGATGCAACCTTCATTTTCTGCATTTGTCACGGGTTTTATTAAAAGGAACCGGGAAGACAGCGGCACGTGAGGTAGACGAAAGATATATGCACACGACAGACTGCCATGGCCGGTGTTAACAGGAGAACTTGAGTTTTTTCCTACTTTGTTATTTCCAATAGCATCGCCTCTGTAGTGCATCGGCGACAGACCATTTAATTGTGTTACGTGAAGTGTTTTCATAGGAGCTATTCATTAAAAAATGTCACGGTTCATATTCTGGCAATATTAAAAAACGTGATAACCGCGAGACACAAACAGAAACTCACTATATGTTAAAAACAACAAACTAACAAATAAAATACAATATTTTATCTTCCGTTCTTATTAACCAGCAATATTTAAAAATCATTTATTTATCATTCCAAAAAGGAAAACTAATTTCTGATGTGAACTGAGCATTTAGGGAACAGGCCTATGGAGATAAATGAATACAATCTGATACCATCGGTGACCCATCGATCAGGACAACCACTATTTGAAATACTGAAGTTGCCGTTTGGTACACAACACTTAAAAATAAATCGCATCGAAACCATTCGCTACTGGGAAGCTATCTGGAGTACACCACAGCTTTTATGCAAGTATAAAAGAACATCTGATGAAACCTAATGAAAAGGGATTAATTACGGGAGCCAAAGCTGAGAATACCGCGTGACATTACATTTAGGTCTAGTATATGTACTTCCGTATCAGAGGTTAATTAAAATCTTTCAGGGCGGACATATCGTGACCGTGGTTTCCAAAGCAGTTTCAGTTCACAGCTGTTCTGCTCAGGTACTAATTGATTGAAACAGCGACAAAGTACAGGTAAGAAACATAGCACACCTGCTGAGTTTTTATCCTGCTGAGGAGTTCAATCCTGTGTGGTCAGCATACCTGCCGCCCTTACTGTATGTTTGCAGTCTGCAGCCATACGTCTGCATATTTCGTCTGCCTTGTTCAGAGCTCAAAACGTACACACATACTTACCATAACGTTTAAAATCACGAAGCTACAGTACTGGACAAAATGTCTTAGGTAACCAAAGAAAATAGTGTTTTAAGCTATTTATCTGGGCAGTAAGTGTAAAAAATGACTTTAGAATAAACAAAAAAAGAGACAAGAAGGTAATGTTCTGCAAACAGATCGATATTTTGTTTACATTGTCTTGCAGTACTTTCCTCCTACTTCTTGTACAACTTGCCATAACTCTTGTTTTGACTTGGGCTCCGATTGTTCTTCTCTCCCACGCTGCGCGAGTAACGTGGAGGTCAGGCTCTGAGCTGGTCATTCTAACACTGGTGGCCTAAGACGTTTGCACAGTACTGTACAGTGGAACTTTAATTTCTGGTATGGAATCCAAGTAAAAGTTTGTGTTAGTTTAATGCGCCCAAGCCAGATTTGCATATGTGACGAACCACCAATCACAGCTGCCTCCAGGGTATTGGTTCCACCCCTGCTGTGTCACTTCCCGTGTTTGGGAGGCTCAGTGAGTTTCTTGTTAGCTGGCTTCTCCTCCCTTTCATCCATCAACAGCAGTGTTTGTTGTCAGATGAGCCCTAAGGGGAACATGCAGCTCTGCTCTGTGTATGTCGTGTCACTCAAGAAGAACCACACCCAGGTGAAAGGTGGAAAAACAGCACAACTCCAAGGAGAAAAAAAAAAAAAACAGAAAAAGACATCTTACTGTAGATTCAAAGAACGTACCTGTATACACACGCAACTCGGGTATTAGCAGGGGGTGGGGGGCAGGGGGTTGTGTGGTGGTGTCTTAGTATTGAAGTTGTCAATTTATTGATAACGTCTTAACACATTTCCTTAGGTTAGAGAACACAGAGCGCACACCAGAGAACAACGCTGTCATAATCAGTGGAATCAGAGATATACAGCAGGATTCACATAATCTTATATATATAGAAACCCCAGCTGAGAAAAGGAAAAACAAAAAAGAACAAATATAAAGGCTCCTGTGAAGAGAAACTATATATCATAAGAGTTCAATGAAAGGAAAAAGTATCGGGGAATAGATTTAAAGAAACACTACAAACAGTCATCAGCGTACTGTTGTCAGAGCAGCAGGGGAGTGACGTCACTGGAAGTAAGAGCACAAACAAGCATGCACTGTCCTGCGTGCGGTGATGCGATGGGGTAACTGCAGGCGGCATGAGGCTCAGGGGCACCTTGGTGTTGGCTGCCAAGGGCACAGGCTCTCCCTGTAGCCCCAAGGAGGGTGGGGCTGAACCGCATCACACCCTCGTACTATAAGTGAACCTCATGCGCACGGATTCCACATTTTTTCTCTGCTTGCTTCATCTGGTTGGTTAAAATTCACAATTATTGCTCGTTGGTCTTCCTGGTATGAAAGCTGTCCATGATGTTAATGTTTACCACCGTTCATCATCTCCACTATGGTGTGGGACAAGGCCTCTTAGGTACCTACCGATTCAAGAAGACAGCCCCTTGTCCGGAGGAAGACGCTGTATTCACAATAATCTCAGAGTGTAGCTCAGATGCAAAATGATCTGAGTTTCAAATAACAAAGGACAAAAATTGAGCATTAAAGCTACTGTAAAAGTTACAACGGCTTTGCATTTAAAAAGTAATAGAAATTCTATGTGTGGTATCATGAGACCTTAAAATCTCCAAATGAAACTATCTATGTTGCAGGGAAACAAAATTGCAAACAATTGTTTTGTGCTCTTCTGGATAATTGTGCCATCTAGTGGAAATCTTGCGGAAGTACGTCAACACCACATGCACCAGCACTGGCCAAGGCTAAAATAACCACTAGTAAAGATCTCCCCCGATCTATTTGGCTGCTTTGCAATGTTCTACGTTTTCACACACCAGCCTGATCTGCTCTGACGACAGTGGGTGCTGCACAAAAGCATGCTGTACAATCCTTATTACACGTCCGTCTTCATTATGATAACCACTGTCATCATCATGGTAATTGTAACCTCGAGACAAAAATAGTTTTATGCACTTACAAAGCTCAGAAAATAGATAAATAGATTCATAGTTTACCAGCATTCAGTAAAAAATCAACTAAAGGAATTCCAAAACACCAAAACTTGTCCCAGTTGAAAGTCATGCAAATAAATGCCATTTATGATATCACTAGATAACTGTAGTTTTACAATATATAATCTTTTAAAAGTTAATATTTAAAATGATTATTTGCAATGCTAAACACACATAAGAACATAAGAACAATACTTCGGCAACATGCTGCCTCTTCTCTCTTTTTGAAGGGGGGGAGGTTTGTGAGATTTGTCCGTCCTTTGTTTCCCCAAACCAAAACACGGGGGGGGGGGGGCAAAAAAACTCCTAACATGATTTCACATTTTATGTAAGAACGGAATAAAATAAGTTTAAAAAAAAAAAAACCCTACAAGGCAAACAGACAGACCCTCCTCGTGGATTTATTTTGTGAACGCAGGACACCACTGCTCATTACTGTCTTTCTGTTGGGGGGGGTTCCTCACCCACACTGGTGGTGCATCTCCACCCTCAACACTCAGACAAGCTTGAGTTCACAAATTCACAGGGGATGTGACTCTCGCAGTCAAAAAATTGAAAGAAGCAGACATACATACACAAACATGTAAGTCGAAAGGAAAATAAATAAATATATAAACCTGAGGACTGTGCAGTGCATCTTGGGATGAAGTCAAGTCTTGGTGCTCTTGTCCCATGCTCCCTCTATGGCTCCCCCTAGAGTCACAGCTTACTCACTGCACTACCCACAACAGCGTAAGGTACACCAGCGCATTGGCAAAGAGCCGGCCCAATCCAAACACGCTCCATAACACTTTCGGCTTCATGTTCGCCGCTGGTACGCAGCAGCTGGAGTGGTCGAGGGGTTGGGGGAGAGCAGAAACACCCTCTACGCCGTTCAGCGTCCACCTTGCCCAAATGCACAATGTTAGCACGTGCTAACCGCCATGTCAAAAAAACCTGCAGGCGAAGGCGGCTCTCAATCATCAAACAACGATAAAATGTTAAGGTTAACGTTAACGTTAAAATGCACCCAAACAGTCTCCAATTCAAAATATGTAATAAAAAAACTAGGAAAACCATGTCTTCGATTTTCCAAAAAGTAAATACAAAATAAATCCACAACCTGCATATACAAAATAAATAAAGACAATGACGATAATCGTAAAACCAACATTACAAAGGAACGGCCTGACAGCAAATCCTATAATGAAAAGCCTTCTCCCTTGCTGACATGATTCCACCTTCCGCAGGCGGCCGTCTGCCCCGACACGCGGCCGTCTGCCCCGACACGCGGCCGTCTGCCCCGACACGCGGCCGTCTGCCCCAACACGACACCCTCACACACTCCACTCCGCAGCGACTCTACACAGCATCACTGGCCTCATTAATAAAAAGGCCAGCATTCAACTGTCACACTATTGTCCCCATCTTCATGAGGACGCACTTGTCTTTATTTGCCATCAATCGTTGAGATGCCGCCAGCATCTCTCCCCCCCCCCCCGGCCCACTAAACACTAAACGTGACAGAAATGAGTCACACCTGTGGGGGCCTGATGAACTCCAGGGGTCTCTGCTGTCGGTCATATCACTCTGGCCCTACAGGAAGGCTGTGGCACCCTATGGAGACTTCCAGGTGAGGGGGGGCGACACATGGGGCTAAGCGGGGCTACCCTGCACAGTTCGATTGAGATTGGCTGAGCCGCACTGCTAATAGGAAGCCCCTGGGGGGGGGCACTGTATGCAGGACACACAGCAGAATGCAAACCGGGGTCGGCAATCACATGTCAGTGAAATGCAGAGACTGCTGGGAATTAAAGAAAAACAAGGTGGGGGCTGAGCAGTGGCAAATGGCTGGAGCACTGAACTGTGGTGGAAAGTTCTAGAGGATCTGGAGGGCAGTCGTCCAGAGGGCATGGCGCTACACATGGCCCATGGGTGGCATTCATCGTGGCACATGATGAGCAAAGGACACGAGCGAATGAGGAAATCAGAAACAAACCTCCAGGTCTCTCGGCTCACATTGCATAATGGGGCTCAGAAAGGGGGCGTGGCCGGAGGCAGTGCGGACCTGAGCCAGCCAATCGCAGCCCAGCACGCAGGGCGAATACCTCCAGTGCTGACGAAAGTGACCATTATGCCTCTACGGGCCTCGCTCTCAGCTCCCCTTCCCTCTCAGACAACCCCCATCCTCCAAACAACAACAAAAAAAACTTAACGAATGAAAAAGACCCGCTCTCACTTCCAATGCCAGGCTGCCCGTGATCATCGTTAGCTGAGAAAAGCGTGTCCAAAACTGCCAAAGTTTCTCTTACCAAGCACAATAAAAAAACAGCCACTGTGAATACTAGAAAAGTCATGCGTTCTTAAAAAGAGAAAAAAGAAAAATGATTTAAATAAATTGTCTTAAACTCCTAGAAACCACTGGCATCAAGAATATGAATTGTACCAATTAAATATACAGTCGCTATAATAGCCATAATAATAGTAATAATGATGTTGACGATGATGAGAATAACAATAAATGTTTTGTTTAAAACTTTACATACTATAATTTGGGTATCTGTGCGCTGTGACACAAATCCCTGGTGTAAGATGATCAAAGAGTTAGGACAACAGAAAAACACACTGTAAGGATTATAATACTGGAGCGTTAATTAAGAGTCTCTTCCCTTGTCGAGAGGCTAGCTGCTACTGTCTTGGCCTGTAGAGCTCTCATGGCAGGTGGGTGGGAGGGGGGCGGGGGTAAAAGCTGAGGGGTGGTCAAGGTCAGGGCTGGGGTGGAGACGCCTGGGGGGGAGGGGCGAATGCGTGAACTGGACGTTGATTGGCAGGTGCAGTAGCGAGGGCAGCCCAGCAGGTGGCGGTAGTTGTAAAAAGAGACGTGCATGCGGGTGCCCAGAGTGGGAGGGCTAAGCGCCGACAGCTCAGAGCTCTCCAACTCGGGACTCGTTCTCCACTCCCTCCTTCCATCCCTCTCTCCCTCTCACCAGGCAGGCGTTACTGTCTCCCCTGAAAGATAGGCATGCGCATGTCAGTACCGCTGCTGTTCTAGAACGTTCTAATTTTCTTTTCACATCAATTAGTGATTCCTAACTTCGTATAACAAAACAACTTCTTGTTAAAAAGACTTAATTTCCTGCAGATCTTCCCCATAGAGTATCAGTTAGTCTCTGAGGAAATACATTTCAATTTACACAGCTGAAAATTTTCCTGACGTGATTCTGACACCCTGGTATAACTGCAGTGGCCAGTCCCTCCGTGTCTCTGTCCTCATTCTTATCTATCTCACACCCATATATACATGCCTTGATTTTCCTGGGGATACCTTTGTTTTTGCCGGTAGTGAACGGGAAACGGCAGGCTGTGGGACGGGGCAGGCGGCCCCGGGGGGCGCGACCCACCTTCACTGGAGCGGCGCAGCCGGGGCCCCCGAGCAGTGGAAATGCACGTTCTGCCACCGCGAGTCGCGGCGGTGCCACACGCGCGTCTCCTCCGACTGGCTGCTGCGCGGGCGTCCCTGGCCGTCCACGAACTGCGTCAGGCGGATGTAGGCGATGCAGGCCGCGTCCTCGCCGATCAGGTGCACGTGCGGGTTCAGGATGGTGGTGTGGATGGGCTTGCTGTTCTTGGAGAGCACTGAGGGGAGCGGAGATCCCTGAGCATAACCTGGTTTGGCTCATTCACATTAAGCTCAACTGGTGATTTTAACCCAAGAGACGTATTTCAGAATAAACAGGAATCAGGCTGGGAGAGGAAATGGCCACCTTACACCTCCATAGCCAACATCCCTCAGACACACACACACACACACACACACACACACGACGAAGTACAATGACAGCCCCTGCCCAGCCCTAACCTTAACCAAACAAAACACAACACTTAATGTTTTTAGTTTTTTGCAGTCACACATTATTATAAAAGTATAAAAGGCTAAAGCAGCAGGTTTGATCCTCTTACAGTTTTCAAAGTAGAATCTGTGGAAATCCATCCCTTCCACCAGGTTACCCAGAGCCTCGGGTTCGAAGGAAGTCAAGCCGGGGTCACAGATCTTCCTGTTGGGAAAACACACAACTCATCACTCGGCAAGAGACAGAGACGTGGAGCAGGAGGGTGAGGCTTCCTGTGAGAAGCAGCGATGATGGTGGCCTAGGCTGTCATTTCACACGGGGATTCAGCTGCATCAATACAGGCAGTGTGGGCCGATTTGTACCAACATGTCTGTATACAAGAGAACGCTGTGCTGCGGCTGTGTTCGTGACCTCTGCTGTGCTGCGGCTGTGTGTTCGTGACCTCTGCTGTGCTGCGGCTGTGTGTTCGTGACCTCTGCTGTGCTGCGGCTGTGTGTTCGTGACCTCTGCTGTGCTGCCTGGTCCTCCATCAGGTGATGTTCATTCATAAAAAGAAATGACTTCTCCTCCAATGGCCCTGTCCAGCTTTAGTGGCTGGAGGGAGGGATGGAGGGAGGGATGGATGGATGGATGGATGGATGGAGGGATGGATGGATGGGTGTTTCCTCCAGGCGCTACAGAGTTGTGTCACACTGCTATAGCATGTATGCTGGGTTTAAGGGTCAGTGACAGTTTTGCTGTCATTTTCACTCTGCCACAGGGCTGACCAATGAGCTCCAAGTAGGAGCCAGATCACAAGAATAATACCAAATGAAGGACCAGGGATTTTTTTCCCCGAGAAGCTTAAAATTTGAGTATGTGGTTACATTTGGGGCATCTAATAATCGTCTGTTAATGGAGATAAAGTGGGACAAATAGGGGGAAATAAATACTAACTGACCTGTTATACAAGTCAATGGTTCTACCTACGAGAGATGGGCATCTTGCAAAGGTTAACTGGGTATAAGGTGCAAGTCATTGATCCCACACAAAAGCTAACCTGTCCAACTGCCCCTCACTCCCGAGAGCCCCCCCCCGGCTTCGTGACTCACGCATAGGCCTCAAAGTCCCCGTTGTTGACGGCCTCGATCAGCTGCTCTGTGATCTTGATGATCTCCTGCTTGCGGGCTGCAGGGGAACCAAGCAGAGAATCCTTCAGGGATTTTGTTGGGGGAGGGGGGCAATCAAACAGCAAGGGACAGACACGTCCAATCAACACCTACAACCTGGAGGACAGACTAAAGAGCCAAACTTCATTGGTAGCTGGAGGGGAATCAAGGCAAAACTGCTAGTAAACAGTCATTAGAACGATAAAATGAAAATGGTTGTTTGTCCAGCCAAATAAACCTACAGCCGATGTGAACATTTAGCAGACGCTTCTCTCAGACGACTTGTCTGTGGGATGCTGTGTGGCTCAGTGGCTTAGGACGCTGAGCCTGTGATTGAAAGCTCGCTGGTTCAAATCCCATGTCCAGCGGAGTGTTTTCACCTTTGAACCTGGAGCAAGGCCCTTAACCGTGTGTTGCTTTGGATAACAGCGTCTGCTGTACAAATAAATGTGGCACCTCAGGGGCACTTTCCGAACCTTTGGCCCTAAAAAGCATCTTCCTAAACTCTCAGAAAAAAACATACTATTCTGTCTACACAAGCACAGCACTGGCAGGACACATTCACATGCCAAATGCAGTATAGCTTTGGGACTTTGTTGCCCAATATCTAGGTGCTATTACTGCCAAAGAACATATCACACGGAGCTTTCAAAACACATGGCAGTAAAGCCAGAGGTGTGTAAGAGAGCAGAGCAAAGGCATCTCAGCACTCCCCTATTCACTGAAACCCCTATCTGAAATTCAGCTGGAAGAGATTTAGTTGTGCAGTTGACAATAAGACACCGTTTCCTCTTTGAGGGAACAAAAAGTCAGCATTTACATAATTGCTTTTTCTAAATGATTATGTTGTTATGAATTCCCTTCATAAATATTAATTTTTTTCCCCAGCCAAGCTTTTCAATGTCATAATTACTCTCTCTGGCCTACAATGGCTGACAAGCCTCGGGCCTGAAAAAGCCTGGTACCGGCTGTGGTCGGTGCCGCAAACCGTCACGCTATTAGTAAACAAGCTGTGAGCAGGAGCTGTGTCGGACCCATGGTGTTCGATTTTGTTTTCTGGAAAAAATGCACGTTTTTATTGGACTTAATCTAACTGTTACGGTGTCCTGCCATATCAGAATAAAATACAGCACTGGAACAAATATGCGAATGAGCCCAGAGTAGATTGGGCAGAAAACGGCTCCCTGTGAACTCTGTGTGTCACGGTTCACAAGCAAGAGACACCTCACTGATACCCCTGTCATTCTGCTGACTGCAGCCACTGCGTTTAACATCCTGTGTTTAATAGTCCCTAAAGCCCGATTCGTACTTCACTTTTCTGCGTGCCATTACAGTCCGTACACAGGGTGCGTCATTGGGAATGCCCAGATTTTGGGTCTAGCAGACTTGTTTGGCATTGCTGCGCACTGACTTGTGCAAGGAATTGATAGTGCATTACTAGAGGCCTCCAATAGGTGGCAGCACTGACCTCCATGGAACTTCTTCAAACATGCTGTGCCTCCCCCTCCACCTGCTCTTCATAAATCTCCATACCTACCAAACTGAATGTTTGAAAACCTTGATGCCGAGTAGCAAAACTGCATCAAANTTGGCATTGCTGCGCACTGACTTGTGCAAGGAATTGAGAGTGCATTACTAGAGGCCTCCAATAGGTGGCAGCACTGACCTCCATGGAACTTCTTCCACCACCCTGTGCCTCCCCCTCCACCTGCTCTTCATAAATCTCCATACCTACCAAACTGAATGTTTGAAAACCTTGATGCCGAGTAGCAAAACTGCATCAAAAGCATGAGCCATAGAAGATGCTGAAAACCTGGGGGTTGGGATGGGGGTTTCGGGTGTCGAGCAATCCTGCTAATCGCAGCTCGGTTTAATGCAACAGGAAGTGGGTAAAACCAGTCAGTAACTGGCAACCCAGGATAATCCCCCCCACTGTGAGTTCTGAAGCCTCGCTTCTCAAATTACCCCGGGATGCTGGAATTGAATGGTCATAGATTATTGTCTTCACTGATGTTTCGACATGGTCTTATAGTCCTATGGGAGCCAACTGCCTCTCAGAGCTCACTTCAGGCCTGGTCTGGTCTGCCTCTCTCGCTCTCAGCCCAGCACACACTCCAGTCTCTTCCCCTCACACTCATCATCTCAGTATGTTACACATCGTACACTAATTCAGGCTCCTGTCTCTCTGTGACACTCTTCCTCAAATGCCTCCCTTTCCGCCAGCCTCCTTCCCCCACCCTACACGCACCGTATGATGGCTGCTGACCTCACTGTGCTATTTCTGTCCCTGAGCTTTAGATCAGTTTCCCTCCCCCCCAAACAGCAGTGAGAACTTGAGGTAGCCCCGTCGTCAGCTCTGTTAGCACTCCAGCATGCCAGCCTGCTTCAGGCCCGAGGGCCGAGGCTGCGCCATCCCTCCGTCGACAGATAGGGGTAGCTCAGGCCCAGTCGTCTGCTCCTCCATGAGTGCCGCCTTCTCAGGGCACCTGTGGCATCGTACTGAAGCAGCTGGCTCATTAAAATCTGCATCTTGGCCAGAAGACACACCTCAGGTTCTATTCAGAGCTGGGCTTTTTGGTGTGATCCACATGGCAGATGGGTGGGTGCTAATTAGTAAAGATGGACAAAATAACACTTCATGAACCATTTGCTGTACTTTTTCAGCCCACTAGATGGTGCTCTCCGATCAGAAAAGGGCATAAAGGATGGCTCAAAAAATTCAGCAAATAGTTCATGAAGCTAAATTGTTCCATCACTACTGATCAGACAGGCACAGTGCCAGCCCCCTACTGACCCAGCATACACAGAGAGCACACAGGAGATTGACTGACAGGCCAAGCTGAAGAGCAACATAGACTGGAGGCCAGGACCCACCGCAAAGTGCCTCTTTATGTTGTGCTTGCTCATCTGAATGCGAACTGCTATGTCTCTCTAAGGCGTCGCGCTAAAATTACGAACTACCGCAAATGACCCCGGGGAGGATGAGGGAGTCGCCGCATCGACCCTGCTGACCCTTCCGCACACGACGGCCCCATACGGTACTCACTCTGTGAGGACAGGGAGGGGGAAGAGGACGGCGGCGGAGGGGGGGAGGAACGAGGCGGAGGCGGGGCCGCCTCCGGGCCGGGCTGGGGGGCGGAGCCCCGTCGGACGCTGCTCACAATGTCAGTCAGGCGAGATGCTGGGGCAGGTGGGCAGGGGTTGGGGACACGAAACAGAGGACGCCGTAGAGAAAGGGTGATGACAGAGAGATGGGAAAGGAGTCGCAATGAAAGAGA